ACTGCACTCCAGCCCCAGTGACAGAGAGAGATTCTGTACACACAAAAATGCAGTGTCTCTCAACTGGCCTATGCATTAGCCATTCATATTTCATATTTCCCTCATTTTCTTATCTGGAATTCTGATATAAAGCCTATTGAAATGTAGCCATTCTTTTAATTCCAGGGATAAAAACCATATACTAAGATGGCAATAGACAAGATAGAAGAGGCAATGGTTTCTGATTGCATCCTTCAGCAACTGATAAAGTTCTTGATGGTCATCATGTGGATAAGAAAAATAACCCCCTAACCAGTTGAGATATCACAAGCAAGTTTTCTGTTTACTAATGTAAGTTGCATCCCTAACATTTGTATCTTCGTTGAATTCCAAGTACCTGGTTCCCAGAAGGTAGCATTATTGACACTTTTATAAAGGCAATAATACCAATATCAATAACTTAGAACAGATGGGTGTGTGCTGTTGGTAGGTGCTGGGCTGCAAGTTTCACATCATTCAGTTCTCACATAACCCTACAAGACAGGTAACACCCCCAATATATCAATGAGGCATGGAGAGGATAAATTTTGCTCCAGGTCAAACCATTCCTTAAAATGAATGGAGGGTACTTTATCTAAGTTTGTAAGAAAGCCAAAATCCCGCATGTAAAAGTACAAACATCTCCATTCAATTGCATGGACCCAAGGAAAACAAGTTGCCATTTCAACTAAACTTATTGTGCGTGTATGAGTCCAAATATCAGCTGGGCCCTCAGAACGCCCTAGCATTTCTACATTGTTTTCTAATCAGTTTTCTCTCTCCTTCTCAGACAGGAAAACTTCACATTTTCTACTCTTTTCTCAAACTATCAACATCACCCTCCAACATCCCTTACTCTCTACTGGGAAAACAGAAGGCCGCTTCCATTTGTTCCCACGTACTCCAGCTTTCTGACTTTTGAATTGATGAATTTTCCCTAATATTAAGGTCTTCAAGATGTCTTTTGTAACTTACAATCTTAAGATTTTTCTCCTGTGATTGTATGGTCCTTCTCCCATATCAATTTTCTCCTCCTGTCAGAATACAGACGTGCTTCATTTCTTATTAAAAAGAAATGTCCTTGTTCTTTCCCATCTCTGTCTGGTTATTGCCCCAAAGCTGCTAACTATACTCATGTTCCCTTCCTCCTCCCCTTGCATTCTGTCTTCAGCCCTTTTTATTCAGGCTGTTTTATCTAGGCCTCTATTCCCCCCTTTAATGTTCTTATCTTCCTTATATTCTTCTTGTTAGTATTCGTATTAAAATATATGCCTTCTGCTTCTGCTAGTTATAGGTCTATTTCTGTATGAATCAATATTCACATTGCAGGAATTCACACTATCACAGCCTAACTTGCCATGTACTAAAATTACAGTACAACTCTCCTGAAGTGAATAGAAGCTACCCTTTCATATTTCCTTTAAAGGGACACTACATATCACAATATCATGCAGTTAGAGGGCCTAGAAGAGTGGATCTCAGCTTGCCCTTACACTAATTACCCTCTTAGGCTGCCGTATTTTTATGCACATGCATAGTACCTTAAATGTTAAGGTGAAATTTTAAATATCCTCTATGGGCTATCTCTGTTTTCTACTCTTATTTTGGGTTGTCTCCAATTTCTATGTCTTCTTTGCAATCTCAGTTTGATCCTGAATACTTCTGATGTCTACGGCCTCATTTGTCTTTAATGTTTGGCATCTATTTCTGTCTTTGAGGCACTGATTTTATAGTATTTACAAGCAAAATGCTACATTTTTTTCTTCTGATTAGTAAACTAATCAATCATATTGTCTCTGGTTCTCAGTTGTTTTAAGAGACTTCTCTCTTTAAGCTTGGATTGCTTAAGAACAAGTATTCAAATACAGAGAAAGTAAGGAATTCTTATAGAAACTTGTCCAAGGTTCTTTTTTTTTTTGAGACAGAGTCTCACTTTGTTGCCCAGGCTAGAATGAGTGCCCTGGCATCAGCCTAGCTCACAGCAACCTCAAACTCCTGATTCAAACAATCCTGCTGCCTCAGCCTCCCGAGTAGCTGGGACTACAGGCATGCGCCACCATGCCTGGTTAATTTTTTCTATATATATTAGTTGGCCAATTAATTTCTTTCTATTTATAGTAGAGATGGTGTCTCGCTCTTGCTCAGGCTGGTTTCAAACTCCTGACCTCAAGCAATCTGCCCGCCTGGGCCTCCCAGAGTGCTAGGATTACAGGCGTGAGCCACCTCGCCCGGTGTGTCCAAGGTTTTTTATCTGAACAATGAATCATAACACAGAAAATGATGGAGTTATTAATACTATTTTTCCAGTTCCTCAAAGTGGTCACAGAATTTGTACTATTCTAGATACATAGGAGAAAAACAAATTAGTTGTATATGGTGAACATTCACACATTCACATTCATTTAATTTTTGCACAGAGAATTTCCATTGAAAACATTTGTTTCTTTGTTTATATTATTAGTACAGTCCTCCCTTAGAATCTATGAGTTCCACATCTTCAGATTCAACTAATTGGGGATTGAAGAAATTAAAAAAATGTATAATAATACAATAATAAAAATAATACAATTTTTAAAATACAGTATAACAACTATTTAGTTCAGATTTACATTATATTTATTAGGTATGATTAGTAATCTAGAGATAAAATGTATACATGAGGATGTATGTTGGTTTTATATAAATACTATGCCATTTTATATAAATTACTTGAGTATCCTTGCATTTTAGTATTCATAGGGGAGTACCAGAACAAATCCCTAACAGATAACAAGAAATGACTGCACATCTTTTTAATAATAGGGTTAGAAGGAAATCCAGAAAAGCAACAAGTCCACTCATATCTTCGCATATATCTTTTGTAATCATTTTGATCAATGTGTTCAAAAAAAAAAATCCTCATCTATATTTTTAAAGATCGTGTGCTTATAGATACAATTGAGTTGAAAACTTTTTCTGCTGATTTCTTACAAAAATTATAACCATTAATAAAGCAAAAATTCAGAAGAAGTCATCAATCTTTTAATTTTACATTTCTTTCTTTAATAAGACAACAAAAAATATTCAATAAAAATGAAACGGACATTTCCATATGCATTCTGTAGGCTTAGGAAGACAAGTTTAGCAGGCATAAAAATGAATAGACCAGATGTAGATTCAAAGAGCCTATATTCAGGCTGTGAATTCTCATCTTATGTAGAAATGTAAAATATTTACAGCTGACTTATAAATGTGTAATATAAGAAGAATTTGAACTCAGAAAACATTCCCTCCTCTTCCTTTCAGTGGTTCAAGTATTTAGAAACTTAAACTCTTACAATACATATAATATTAATTATAGCAATAGTAATAAATAATAGCAATTGATATTTACTGATAATTTATTATTTCTATGCAACATACACATATCAATTTAAATAAATTGTACCATGAAAGTCTTGTTATATATGCCTCTTACTTACTCGACCTTATTAGACATCACTGTAAAAAATTTAAAAGAAAAACATTAATATAAGTGCAATAGATGATATATATATAAGATCAGCATTCCAATCAAATAGTATATATTTTAGAGTAATGCTGTCCAATATAATGTTAGACACAAGGGTAAGAAATAGGTAACATTAGTTATATATCTTATTTAATGCAAATAAACCAAATGTTATTATTTCACTATGTAATAGCTATAAAACTAAATGAAATATTTTACATTCTTTTTTTCCATACTAAGCCTTCAAAATGTGGTATGTATTGAACATATAAAATACATCTCAATTGAAACTAGAGACATTTCAAGTGCCCAACATATGATTAGTGGCTACTGTGTTGGACACCATGTGAGAATGTGATTAGAAAAGGTGAATTTGTGTTCCTCAGGAAATCATATCTCATATCTCATCATAGACTATGGAATTTATATGTTAGCATAGTATAGTCTACATTATACAGTAGTATATAAATGGATATTTTTAGGTATGTGGATTGTGGTTTGCTGTGTGTGTTTAGAAATGTATATATATATGTGTGTTCATATATATAGATGTATATATATATGCATGTAGATATACAGGTATAACATGCTCATAAAGGCAACCTAAAATTTCATGTAGTACACATTATAAAAAATGCAGCAATTAAAATGTTTTAAAATCTAAAAAGAAAGAAAAACTGCAATCAATCTAGTTAATGCTAAAAGAAATATGGTTATGTTGTAGTTGTTAAGATATAGTATATTGGTCTTCATCAAAATATCAACATTTCTTAAAATCTCATGAAAGTTAGTTTCACCATATATGAATTTTTCCTAAGGTGGTGAGATTATAACAGTGGTTTTCAACTAGGGACAGATCCCCCACCCCTCCCCCTTCAGTATATTTGGCCATGACTGCAGCCATCTTCAATCGTTAAGATTCAAGGTGTAGTTACTGGCATCCATTGTGTCAAAGCTGAGGACACTGATGAATATCCTATAATGGCCTGCACAAGCCCCTGTTAACAGGCCATGTTAAATAATTATCTGACCCAATTTATCCATAGCATTGAGATTGAAATGCCCTGGTTTTAGTCCCAATATACTACCTAAGACAGAATTCCAATATTTTCTTATCATCATTTGAAAGTTGAAAACACAAGCTCAGAGACTAAGTAGCTTGCCCAAAGTCCCCATAGCTTTGAAGTGGCAGACGCAGGTTCAAACCCAGGTCTGCCTGGGTCATATCTAGAGTTCTTACCCCTGTTCCATAGAACCGTGATGTTAATACTCCCTGTGTTGAAGGTTTTATTTCTTGCATTGTTTTGCTTTGTTTTATTTGCTCTGTTTTGTATTTTAATTCTTTTACAAATATGTAGTTTTGTGAAATCCAAAAGTAAAAATTACTTGCAAAATAAAATAAAAACAGACAGAATTAAAAATACAGCTCTCCCCAATTTTTATTCTCACAAACAACAGACAATATTAACCTATTCAAGTGATACAAGGACTTCTTAATGTTTATGCTTCTCTCTCAATGTCTGTATTTCTCTTGTTGCTGAGCTGAAATACACAAATTTCAGGGGCAGGCTCAACTTCAGAGCACATTTGAGTAGCACTGCAATGAAGCACACCGGAAATTATGTTACTTCTGTAATTAGAAACAAATTTTAAAGATTATTGGATCAACTGCAGTTGTTATCAATAAAACCTTAATTTTATTTCCAGGAAGTTCTTCCTTAATTCACTCAAAAAACTAGTTTTCTCCAAGAAAACAAAACAACAGGGGAGAAAAAAAGCACATTTACATTTATATCAATATAAGATATTAGGGTAACATCTAAAATGTATAATTTTCAAAAGGATTTCTCCTTTTTTAGAAGGATAAAATGCTAAAAAGAGAAAGAATAAAGGGAGCTTGTAAAATATAATTTGCTTTAAACATGGAAGAGTTCAGTACTTCTAAGGGAAACAATTACCTATAATCAGTAAAACAATGATAATTTTTAATTACATTGTAGATGCTTTGTTTTTACATGTTATTCTCCTTAGAAACACTAAATCTAAATTATCTGTAGTCTCAACATTCTTTTTCTCTTAGAAATTTAGTTTTCATCTACTAATTTTACTGTCATCAAGAAATATAGCCACTAATACCAAGTAAGAGTTAATAAGAAGTTTCATAGAACATGCTCGAGTTGTTCCTGCAAAATTGACAGCCTCCTCAGTACTATCTATTGATATCAAAAGCAATGTTATTGGGACATGTAAAGATTGCTTGATCTTGTGAATATTTTAAAATACAGAAGACTAGATTCTCTGATGGATGATTGTGATGGACTTAACTGTGGCCCACCCCAAATCTATATGTCAAAGTATGTCAACATGTGACTGTATTTAGAAACAGGGCCTTTATAGAGATAATTAAGGCAAAATAAGGTTAGATGGGTGAGCCATGATTCAATATAACTGACCTCCTTAAAAGAAGAGAGTAGGACACAGATGTGCATATTCAGAGGAAAGGCCATGTGAGGACACAGCAAGCAACTTGGTGGCCATCTGCAACCAGGGAGAGAGGCCTCAGAAGAAACCAAACCCACCAACACCTTGATCTTAGACTTCTACCTTCCAGAACTGGAAGAAAATAATTTTCTCTCTGTTATGACCCTAGCAAACCAATACAACGATTGAAAAGTTTTCAGTAAATGAGAAAGAAAACATTAAGAAAACATTGACTGTGGATTAAAACTTGGTCTTGCACATCATCAATCAAAGCTACTAAGTGCACACAGGGTATAATGAGAAGCATATGACAAATATTAACTAAAAGACAAATATCATTTAACACATCAAATATATCCTAAGATGCATTGTCAATAGGGGTCACTTTACAAATGATCCAAGTAATTCTCACTGAGAAAACATTGAACCCAAAATAGCACTCAAAAAATTCAAATGAAGTGTGTAAATAATGTGAACAGGAATTTTGACAAGGAAGCATTTGCCTGAATAAAATCAACACTGTAAACAACTGGAATTGTATGATTTTATACAAATTTGGTGATGACAAGCAAGATTAATGTTGAATAATTTATTAATTAAATTAAAATTATCCATTATCTATTGAATATACTGATTCTTTAAAAATTACTTTTCATACTGGCAGTGATTGTGTTTTTAAAATTTTTATTTGCTTTCTGAATTTAACTCTATGGAGCTAAATTTGACAAAGTTCTCTTTCTGACTAAACATTTTGGAAATAGGAAAACAGGTTCTTTTTTTTTTTGCAAAGTGGTATCCGTAACCTCACGGGTTTATCGATGCTCTATGTTAAGGACAGTCCAATTCTACTAATATAAAACTATATTCTTCGTGATGTAATACAAAAGATCTTAATCCATGAAATATCAGAAATAGCATTCATAGGTAAATTTTTTCTCACTGAATAACAACTAGTAAAAACCTGGTAAATTTTGGCTATGAAGAATAGAAAATAAAGACAGAAAAAATTATAAACATTGATAACTTCAGTGGTAAGGACAGTGTTTTTAATGAAATGAATTTTCTTAATTTAATGTCCCATGCTGCTACTATGGCAAGAATCCTAAATTTCAGTATGAATTTCATTCTCTCAGAAAAGTCAGAAAGAAAAACACATCTAATATAACATAGCATCTGTGTTTTAAGAAATTACTCTTCTTTTTATAGAATAAAACTTTGAATCAATTCATTCAAACATTACAATTTTTAATTTCATTGCTTCTCTGTTCCTCTTCTTTAAAGCATTTTAATTGAACTAATATCTAAATATTAACTTGGCATTTTCTTAAGAATAACAATTTGTTAATTCATCTAAATTAACAAGATATATACCAATTTTACAACTTTCTGATTTTCTTCCTAGATTATTTTAATCACTTCTAGATCAACGCCATTAAATACCATCAGGAGTACAAATAAGTCATTAGAGCCCTAAGTTTCACAGTCATCCTCAGCTAAAAAACAGACATTGATTAGGTTACTTTCTCTAAATTAAGAGGAATTTAAGCTCAAATGTCATACTGGTTTTCTCAAATACAGGTATTGTTCTCACGAGACAAATTACTTGTTTGGGTACAGCATCCTTTCCTCTATCAAATGGCTTTCAGAGTTCAAAATTCTTTATAGTGTCCATAAATAATATAGTTTTGTGAACCATCAATAGCAATAAGCATTGATATGTTAAGAAAATGTAAACAGAAGGTAGCATCAGTTTTAGAAATAATTTTGTAAAATGCATTTCTGGTTCCAAAAATCACCCGCCTCGATTTAATCTTCTATCTTCCTGGATGTTTGTTTCTAAGGTTGAAGCACTCAGTTTTTAGAACCATATCAATAAGGTATTGGGAATAGTACTAGTCAAATTCTAAACATTCTTCCTGAGACAATGAGACAAAATATGAAATAATTAAAAGGCAAAATATAAAATAATATAAAGCAATCTATAAGAGCTTTGAGTTTCTGCTCTCCGAAATACTAGCTGTGTGGTTATTGTGAAGTTATTTAAATAAATATTCCAGGGGATTCCACCTAAAGCTGTCAGTTGATTCCATAGATTTGGGGTGAGTGGGCTTAAGGATTATTAAGTCTCAACACTTGTTATTGACTTGGTTGAGATTTAGCTGTTGAAGTTACACCACAAATCTCAGGATAATTTAGACATTTTTGCATTGTGGGTGAGGTAAGGTGGTCAGGGTCTGGGACATTTATTTTCTATGCTAATACAGTACGTTCAGTGGGACCTCCATTTTCTTCCCATCTTTCTACTTCAAAATAGTTACCTTATATTTTTGTCTTTTTAATCCTGCTCTACTTCCTCATCCCCAGGAAAGATATTCCATCAATCATTCCCTCTCTCACTTATATCTAAAATTCCCATGCCTTCACACTTTATAGTCACGTTCCCAATCATTTATTAAGTCATTCATTAAATATTTATTGAGCACTTACTATGTGCTTAGCACTGTCTTTTAGGCACTAGAGATACATTGAATAAGCAAGTCAAATACATCCTCTGCTCCCACCAATTTGCAGTTTAATGAGGGGAGTCTATGGACAAGTAATAAGTAGGTTCAAAGGGTGGTGTCTGGAGCAGCCACACAGACACGATCTGGGAGCGTGTTAGAAATGCAGAATGTCTGCCCTCACCAAGGATTTCCTGGATCAGAGTCTGACCAGGCCCCCAGTGATAGGCGTACCGTACATATTAGGGCTTGAGAAGCACTGTAACAAAAGAAATTAGTGGCCTCAATCAAAGCTTATACACATTTGCAGTCCTCTACTACCTAAAATCAATATCGATTTTTAAAAACCTGTTTTCCTGTCAAATGAGATTTCTCAAATGATTCAGATCTTTTCTTCTATTTCCTCAGTTTATGTTTCTCTCAAACTATATTCTTCGCCGTTTCTTGAAATACACTTGGTTTTCTGCACCTTTGATTTTTCCCCACTTCTCTCTAAACCTGTAATATTCTACTGTACCTGTTGAGGTCCTTTTCAAATAATACTATTAGTAATTGTTATAGTGATACTAATTAACTTTGGTGGAGCACATGCTATGTGCCAAAAAGCTCCTTCAACACCTTTATGTTTATCAGTTAATTTAACATGCATTATATGGTTTGAGGATGATGCTTCAATTATTATCCTCATTTTACAGATGGGAAACGGAGACAAAGAGAGGTTTTGTAAAATAACCACTCCTTGAGAAAACCTTTTCCTATTCTCTATATTTTCTTTTTCCTATTCTCTCTTCCTATTTGTCCTATATGGGACAAAAATCCATGCCTTTTCCAAATACTCCTGGAGCTTTTTCTGTGTCTTACCTGAGAAACTTGTTACCCTTAATTCTTAGCTGTTTCCATGTTTCTCTCATTATACTTCTGCTAAACATTAATCTTTTCCTAATACACATTAATCTCCTTTGAGACCTAAATATTTCACATCCATGGTACATATTTCCATGGGATTTATAAAATTTCAAGTATAAATATATTTTTAGGATTGACTCATTTAATATTTGATACTTTCTACTTCCAGACATCAAATATTATGCTCAGAAATAGAAAAAGTCTATGAGACAAGGTTTACTTTGCAATGTTGTTGTAATAGTGACTTGTATGTTTCTTTAGAAATTGTTTTAGCTTATTTTCTGTTCTTTAGAATGAAATTTCTTCTCAATATCAACTTTTTCTTTTCACTTATTTATTCTTTACCTATTATTGCCTTTTTAAAAGGATTTTATACTGGTTCTTTATAAAACTCAACCAAAATAAATTATCCCACACCTAATGTAGTCAAGCCACCATGCCTAGAGGAAGGTGACTGGAAGAATGGGACCAAATAATGTCCTAAAGAGCTCAAAATCTAACAGAGGAAACATTCAAACAGATTTCATTGCATAGAATTTGTGAGAAGGTAGAATCGGGCACAGTGCACTCTGGCTCAGGAAAGGAACTGATGATATCTGGAGATGTCATCCTGTATCTCTATAGGCACATTGTCAACCTTTAAGAAAACAAGGACAAATAATTTTTGTTTGGTTTTGACTACAGATTAGCAGACAAAATTCCATCCAAGAAGCCATCTCAGATCATCATTGAGGATAATGAGATGTCATTAATGAACTCACTGCTCATGGAATATCTTGCTATCGAGGGGTTTTAATAATTTTAGCTTCTCCAGTTTGTCTTATATAGTAACCAAAATGATGCATACAAGATTCCATATGTAGAAATCATGAAGAATTTAGAACAGATTTTGTTTCTGTAATTTCTATGATTTAATAAAATTATTCATAGCTAAAGTATTGTGTGAGCCCTTTTATTATTTGGCCACCTTTCAAATTTATAAACTGCTTCCTTCTTTTTTACTCTTTGATCAAATGTTATAAAAATATAAAAGCACATTAGGGGAAATAACTTTATATAAGGGTAGAATAATAATTAACAACTTGATCAATAATAGATAAATTACTCAATTACATTACTATCAGTTCCAAGGGAGACAAATATATAATGTCCTTGAACAAGCATAACACATCTTATAATTTAATGAATAAGAATTACATATAAGCTTACTTTATGGGGAGATGAGTAATTTTTATAGAATAGTATATCCATACAAGTTCAATTCATAGCAACATAATTTGTACAATATCTGATATAAAGTTTTGCATATCACTGGTGAAAGGCTGTGTGTGTATGTGTATATGTAAATATACTTGTTGTTATTAGTATTTGAGTATTAATATTTCAGTCAAGTGTGCCTTTTAGATGTTTATTATTCTTTCTGCTTTGTCCTGAGTTACCTCATATGTAGCCATAGGAATTAAAGAGCAAAGCAAATTGGGTGAGTTTTATGATAAAAGAAACATGAGGTATTAATTTGAAAATGAACCATGTCCCAGAAATGTAGAACAATCTTGCAGAACATTTACTATGAAGAATATACTAACATACTATACATATAATAATGGTACATGTTAAAGAAGTTGGAACATACATACAGTTGACTAAGTTTAGAATGATAATTCATGGAAAGAAAAAAGAAGATTACTTAAGAAGAAAGCTACAACTCTCCAATTAAATAATTTTATGTATAAATATTTTATATCTTATGAAAAGTAAATTTTGAAGCCTATACATATCTAAGGAAGATCCAGAATTTGGATAGTTCTATTTTTACCTACCTATTTTATTTAGAATTTATATGAGAACAATTCACACTAATATCAATAAAGGTATGATTTTGATAATAAATTTAGGCCCTAATATATGTGCTGAATGTTTATATGTAAGCTCATGAAATAAAATATTATTTCCATTGCTCCAAGTTCTTTTTTCTACTGATAATACATTTTTATAGTAATAATTGCATCTAAACCCCAATGCCAAACTTCATCCTCTATAGTTATATTTAGAGAAAATGTTTAATTAAAAATAAGTCTTAAGCTCTTTCAAGAGTATTAGTTAGATATCTGTCAGAGCTCAAAATTCTTTTGATATTCAGTCAATAAAAGTTTATTAAGGGTTATTGAAATCTCTGAAGTAACCACTTGATAGGCCTACCTGTTAGTAGAGTTGACTGACATTTATTTAATGGGAAAATAGATCTTCCTGTTCTCTTCATACTTCTGGGCTCACTACCATGCAACAAAAATATATTTTTTAGTTGTGTACATTTTATAATAGTATTTCTACTATTCTCTTTAAAAGATATACATGGAACATGAAATTCTTTTTATGGGGGGAGAACTAAACCTGAGATCTTGCATTTTGTGTTTCCCAGGTGTTCCGGTGCTCTAATGCCCCTAACATAGGTAGCTTGGCATCCTCCCCTTCCCAAGGTAATAGGTAAACCTATTTTTTGAACTAATGGTAGCTCAGGGCAAAACATACAGGTGAGAAATACGAGAAAAGAGAATATAAAGGCAAAACTCTAGATTTAGTCTGGAACAAAGTGAGAGAAAATATGTGTTAGGTGATAATTTGAGAAACTTCAGCTAATAAAGAATTCAACCTATAGTTTTGCAAAGGGGGCAGTAAATGTTCTCTAGAGGACCAGCTGGTAAATATTTTAGGCTTTGTGGGCCTGAATTTGACAATTATGATAACGAATTTATGCTTCCCCAATCATATGGTAAATATATATACACTGGGCATTAACCATGCTATTAGCACTATAATAGAAGCCACAGTGAATAAAGAAGTACAAAGCTCACTCTTTTCTTCAAAGAATTTGCAATTAAGTAAATGGAAGAAGATATATCAATTCTCACCAAGCAACAATAAAATTATAATATTGTTTGAGAAACTCTGTTCAATGCAGTCTCTAAGTTTAGTTTTAACATGGTTGGAGTAGAAGTGGAACAAATCAGACTGAAGATGTCAGAAAGAACTGGAGCTTAAAATGTGGCTGTTGATGAAGATTAGCTTTCTAGATAAGATTAGCTTTCAGAGTAAACTTACTACATTTATGGAAACAGAAGTATATTATAGCTATTAAGAGCATGGACTCTACAGAAAATAAATGCCTAAGTTCAAATCACAGCTCTGCTACTTACCAGCTATAGGACCTTGGGCAAATTATTCATACTCTTTAACTGTCTTCAGCCCATAAAATGAGGACAATCATAGCTCAATAGGATGATTATAAAGATAAAATAGGTTTATAATTATAAACCTGGTACTTAGCAAGCTCTAAAAAAATGTTTGCTAGTATTATTAGTCATTATTACAATTAAACATCCAATACAAAGTGAGCAAATAGTTTAAATCCCAAATATTTGGCAAGGAAGAAAATTCAGATGAAAGCATTGCCCAACAAACAAACATAATTCATTGTGTGTCTAAGAACTTCTAGAATATTCATGTCTTCCTTATTCTTTTCAGGTATGTGCAAACAATGTCCCCCCCCTTTAATATTTTACATGTGTAAAGGGATCATCCATGTGCTAATCATTCACATAGAATGTATACATGATATATTGTTTTTCTCTTTTTTTTCTGTTAGAAAGAAAGACTGAGAATGAAAGAGGAAGGAAGAAAGAGAAAGAGTAAGAGAGAGGGAAAGAGAGAACAGAGGCTTGTGGCGTGTTAAAATATTCAAAATACTAATCTTGTATTTCCCTCTAGCCTCCCTGCCAAGAAGAATGATTTCCTAACCACTACTTACTAGAAAATGCAGCATGTAAGTACCTGACAATTCCTTCCAGGATAGTTATTTACAAAAGGGAATGCAGATTTTGCAATTCTAATATAAAAAAAGTAAATATGACTTTATAGGACTTATTTACAAGAAGCAAAATATTACATTTGCATTAATATACTTAATTTAACTACCCATAAAATTTATATACCTATAGCTATATACCATACATAAATAGTCCTATTATCACTATGATAATATAATATTTGATTAGAATTTTAAAGCCCATGTATAGTGCTAAATATACCTCATGAAATAATACAACAGTTTTTCCTTCTCTTCTAAAAAAATTAACACTTTCTGAAAAGGCAGTAAAACCCCTTTATATTTGTCAAAATATAAAGTATTTGATGCAGGGGTTTTCCATATATGCAAATTTCCTATTTTCACCAACTGGCTGCCATTTAAATTTTCTAAGGGGCTGTGACTAACTTATCATAGAACTGTCTAGCTTGTCTTGGAAAAAGATGCAAGTAAAAACAAACGTTTTAATTTATTTGGTTTTCCATTTGTGATGACTCTGTCTATTTTAAGAGGGAGTGATTTGTACCATGCCATTTATATTCACTATATTGTGATCAACCTGTCAGCTCAGTAGCCAAAGCTACAATGTTATCAATTAACAATTCGGAATTCACCATTCAATCAGAAAAGATTTGCTAAGCAGGTAAGTGATCAATACTGTATTACCCAGGAGGGGATAAAAGGCAAATAAATCATTGATCCTGCCCTCAAAAAACTTACAGTTGTAGAGGAGTCACATATTGAAGAAGTGTAAATAGTACCAGGAAGCCCCCAACAGTGCTTGATATGTGGTTTTTAAATGTGGCTGGTGAACATGACAGATAGAAAGATTGATTCCGACTCATGATTTGAGGGGAACAATCTTAGTAGTTAACTCATCATACATTGCAAACATCAGTAGAACACAATGATAATATAATATTAATAACAGCAATTGTCCACAGCTCACAGGTGGAAGCGTGGACGCCCTCACCTCCTCCCCATGCCAAGCATTTGCTCTGTAGTTAGTTGACTGTGTTGATAGCTGAGAGACCTTAGGAAGGGGGTGTGGAAGTCCAGAGAGTAAGGGGTGCTCAAGGGGCTCAGGATAGCAACTATTCACCAACTAACATGAAAACATTTCAATATTTCAAACACATTTCAATACTTTAAAAACCATCCATAGACTATCTGTATGGATATAGGCTAAACATATGCTCTGCTATCCTGAGATAGACCTCAAAATATGAATAGCATTTTAGCAGATGTGTATATTATATGAGGCTGAGAGGGTAGGTTTATTGAGCACCTCAACAGGTCATTTCCAATCAGGTGAGTTGCAAATCTAAATCATTGCATACATACCAACCATGTAAAATTGTTATATTACTATTGCAATCGATTGCTTTCATATTGTACCTTTCAGCTTCTTTAAACCTGAATTTTAACAGATTTCTTGCTTTATGTGCCCATCTTCTTAGGGGATCTCTCTCATTTTTCCTCTCTTTCTAACTAGTTGTGGCATAGCCCCACAAGGTGATGACTCTAAACACATTCTTAATTCAAACAGCTGCAGAAAAGAAAAACCATGAGCCCCTTACCCTTGATCCTTGACTAGCACCTCACTGTCACATATAATCTTCCACAAGTCACTCCTCCAATGGAGAAGCTTAACCCAATTTTGATATTGGGATTTGGGTGAGAGTAATTTGGAACTGGTACCACAGATAAGTAATTTTTCCCTCATGTTTTAACCTTAAGTGAAGTATAATTATACATTCTGTTTATTTTTTCTATTGAAGTAACTGGCATGAATCTAAACACAATCACATCTTTTGTGTGTTTTTATTTGAGAAAATATGACAGGAAGTACTTACTTTATAACACAAGCTCTGCAGAACCTATTTCCCTTCCATGTTCAAATGGCATGAATATTTATGAACCCAGAGATGGAAGCAGTAAAATAAAATGAATTGGCTTGAGCCAAACACTATTCTGCTATCTTTTCCAGCTCATTCAACCGACGGCCACTTGACCAAGACCTCACTCAAATGAACTTACCACATTAAACTACTCACTGAAAAATTGATTTCCCAAATGTTTTCCAATTACAAAATCACACGGAGTTTTTCAGAAGCATTCTGCGAAGCAATCTGTATTGGTAATACTTAATTTTGGTACAAAATGTTTGAAATCAGATGCTAGTTATTATCTGTTGGTTCTCAGGCACTCATGCCCCTTTATATATATGCTCTTATGATAGGTCGCAATTGGGTTCTGAATGTTTTATGCCTCCTTCTTCATAAAAGAAATATGCATCCTTCTCCTGGCCATGTGACTTATAGGGCCTTCCCATGGCAGGAATTTATTTCATGACTATATTGTCAAGTGTGTGGCCATTTGACTTTCTCTGGTCAATAAAATATGGGCAGAAGTGATGCCAGTACATTCACTCCAAGAAGAAGTTTGACTAGCCATTAAGTATTTCTGCTAACTCTCTTGTTCTGGCCCCTCCCATGAGAATAGCAAGTTTCAAATATAGGCTGTTCTTCCATAGCAAGTTCCAGAATAGAAGCTATATGGAACTAAGACTCATGAAACTTAAAGCTAGTATCATGCAATATGACTGAGAAATAAACTAGTGTATAAGGCCTGGAGGTGTTCAGATTGTACCTGAAGCAGAACCTAATAAAATTGACACTGGAAATGGGATTCTTTCCTGAGATTGGCCTAAAATATTTGTCACTGGCTTCTGGGCTAAGAAGGAAGAGGAGGCCCAAACTGTTATTGAATACTTAAAAAACAGCCATGTCAGGTGCTAATGATGTGAAGTATTTGATAAAACTCTCAGCAGTGATGATTTGTAAGGCAGACAATGTGCTGAATGAATTATAGCTTTTGTCGAAGAGGTTGGAATGTGATGTTACTGAGGAGACTTAATTGTTATTAGTAACCAAGACAGCCTTAACATTCCCCTCAACTTTAATAAATTTTATACAGGTTTCTTTCTGACTGTAAGTCCCTGACCTTCCTTCTCTTAAAGCATTTACTTTAGAAGACTTGCAATTATAAATTCTTTCTCTTCCCTTCTGAGATTTAAATCTTCTACAACCCAAGAATGTCTTTTTCAAGGGCTCCAAAGCCATCCCTTTGCAATGCAGTCGTCAACAATAGTAGGGTCCTTATTTCCCATTTCTGTAGGAATACAGGTGCCTAACTTCAATAACCAATTAGCAGATACAGGTGTCCTAATCACATTGACCAGCCCTTCCCCAACTACTCCAGTATTTTTCCATTGACTTGCCACAGTGAGCTAAATATTCTCCTGACTTTTTTTCCATAAGAATTGATGGCCTGGTGGGCGTGGTGGCTCACGCCTATAATCCTAGCACTCTGGGAGGTCCAGGTGGGTGGATCGCTCAAGGTCAGGAG